GCGTGGGCAGGGGGTCATTACCCTAAAGTTTCAGCCTCCTAGACTCCGTGGTTCCCGAGATATTAATTTACCCATAAAAAACTTTCCTGGGGCCATACGTGTTACCTGCGGGTAATGGGAAGCTGAATTTAAATTTGCGAGGTCACACGTGGGTGAGGAACGTTCCCCTAAATTTTCAGCTTCCTAGCTTTTGTGGTTCCCGAGTTGAAAGTTGCGGTGGGGAACGTTACCCTAAATTTTCAGCTTCCTAGCTTTTGTGGTTCCCGAGTTGAAAGTTGCGGACAGTCACACGTGGGTGGGGAACATTACCCTAAATTTTCAGCTTCCTAGCTTTTGTGGTTCTCGAGTTGAAAGTTGCGGACACACACACACACATAGACAACCCCGTGACAATATGCATTTTGTACTGCTGTTACACAGCACAAAACGTATAAAAAGGATGAGTCATAGAAGCCCAGCCAAAATTAGTCGTTCCGTGCAGGTCGAAGCTGTGAAGTGGTATTCTGCAGCCATAAGTAGGTCGAAATACTGAATGACATCTGTGCTGATCAAAAACTAACCTTTGTTGGCAATGGACTTTCATCCAGGAACAAAGTTATCACGGCAGGTCCAAGTGGTTCTTCAAGCGGTATCGCATCGATCAGGGACATGATAACCATAATCCAGCCACCTTCCTCCTCCGCAACCGAATTTAACTTTGCCAACGGTGCCGGCGCATCTTGTTCACTGCAACACATGCTCTGTAGAGGTTTTCAGTTTCAATGCTACATGTGAAAATGCCCTACTGTGATTAGCCGCCGAATCAAATCTAAAGACAATTTCTGAAATATAATTAAAAACACTGGAATAAATAATAATAAAAATATGAAGCCAATTTACTTGGAAACCAGAAACCGTATCATTTTCATTGTTTGTCGCACCAATTCTCGCATATCTAATTCGGCATCCCCGCTTGCACAAGCATCAACTAAAAAAAAAAAGAAAATTACTGAGAATTGACTAATTGCCAAGAGATTTCGCTATACTATTACCACAGTCCGACAATTAATCCCTGCGCCTCTTTAGTGTTAATATTATCATTTCAATAGTAATATTATTAAAAATAACAATTACCATCATTAAACTTATCATTATTAAAATAATTATTATGAATAATAAAATGACAACAATAGTAGTAAAAAAATATGTATATTTTCTCGAGGTGTCCGTACATGTGACTTAGGAGCAGGCAAATGGAAGATCACACATGGAGTGGGCATATACTCCCGAATTTTCAGTTTTCTAGCTTTTCTGGTTCTCGAGTTGAAAGTGGGTGACAAAAAGCGAGAACACACAAGTGTGCACTAACATATCCCCTCTATCAATAAGCGATTTTTGCATTTGCATAATATGCAAAAACGCATGAAAAATATGGAAATACTAATCATAAAATAGAAAGAATGGTAATAATTATTTTTTAACCATTAGAAAATATCAAAATAATGCTTTGACCGATGCCGTAATAGATGGCGGCCAGCTTTCTGGTAAGCCTGACATTCATCTTCCCTCCTGAAGAGATAACTGGGCTCAACAGTTTTTCCAGCAGAAGCGCATGGCAATGCTTTCTTAAGACGTCCTTGGAGATTAGTACTTTGTCTGGCATGCTGCCGCTGCTTGGTCATATTATATTATTCACCGAATATCGCGGACCAAGCCACACTTTTTGCAAAAATGTTGTGGACCGGGGAAGGAATCGAACCATACGATTTCACTATCCCCGCATTCTCTGAATCATGATGTCTTATCCACTACACTACCGGCCCTTGTGCTCCACACAACAACCCATTTGCACAGATACAGCTCTGTACTCTCTGATGTCACTATTACATGTAGCACGCACTATTAATTCTTGCTGGCTTTTCGGGGGACTTCCGCGACATCACGAATGATTCGTGTGAAGGTGAAAAATTTTCATATAACCAAAAAATTTTCACCAAAAAAAAAAATTTAATAAAATTTTAACCAAAAAATTTCGCGAAAAAAAAGCTTTCAAAAATTTCGAATATGTAAGAATTACCACTTGTCTGCTGTGGAGAACCTGTTCGTGCACTACGTGTAACAACCCGCCTACGTGGGGATCGTGATTCATCACCATTTGCTCGTTGCGCTGCAGCACCATCACCACCAGTCTGTGGATCGCTATCACTGTTCGAAGGCATTCTTCGATCGCAAGCACGTCTTGATGATTCTCTTTTACGCTTGCAAATACATCCACCCATTTGGTGGCCCCGATAAATTTCTGCAAAAAATAAAAAATTTAAACAAAAAGAGCTTATTTTTATGCGTTTTTTGCGCTGCAACAGTGAGCAAAAACAACATTCTGACAATTGTTCGATCTGGTATTTCAACTCGGCAACCATGCAACAATTTGCCAGCATATTCCTTGATCAAGTGCAAAGCCGGATAAATGATATAAGCTTTCACAACGCCTGCATCTACGTGCAGACGCGTGAAAATTTTGACGGGAAAATTGCTAACTCGAGAACCAGAAAAGCTAAGAAACTGGAGCTCTGGGAGGACGCCCCATGCCCATGTGCGAGTCTGCAAATTTAAATTCAACCTTCACCTACACTCGAATTTCTAAAATACGCGATCTCGTGCGAAGAATTATTTCATGAATTCACCGTTTTCATGAATTCACCGTTTTCATTATTTCCATGAATTCACCGTTTTCATGGAGAAGGGACCGACATGCTTCTGCGATAATTATAAAAAATCAAGTTTTCCGCCAAATAATTTGCGGTAGAATGTGTTATTACGCTCAAATTCGATGGACAGGGTGTGCTCACCACGTACAAGTGACTGGTGCCAAAGAGAAAGTAAACGACCACTCGGACGACTTCCGAAGAGATGACGCACATACGTCGAACAGGCAGTGGGTACTAACTGGAGATACACGCAGCCCAGGATCGATGGACCTGGCGCAGCTGCGCCCGACGTCCCGCAAAATCACGAACCCGAGGTGCTTCAGGTGATAAATTATATGACTTAATAGACCGAAACATCTTAATTCTTTCGTACTTCGTTTTTCCCACACCAGCTTTATTCCTACATCCATCAATACACGTAGTTTGAAGTTCCATTCTTGCCCTATTTAAATTTTCAATATTACTTGTATGCTACAATCAGCTTAATCCAGTTAGGGCGAAGGTGAGCAGGGAAGGGGGGTTACTACTGGATCAATTTGGAAGTACAACGAGCGCTGTGCAGTAGTAATCTAGCAGTTGCGAAAAAGAGGATCGAGGATTCGATTCCAATCCATTACTGAGAGAGCCAATCCCTCCTCGATTCGTTCATTCGCTTTCGTTCTGGCAAATTAGTACAAAGTGCATGCCAGGAAGTCAAGCCTGCCATCAGCCTACTTCTAAGCAACACGCGAAAAACGGAATTATCGACTGTTTTCTCAACAGATGGTTGCTGTTGGCATTTGCTACCTTGGACCGCTATGGAAGATGTGGGGGGGGG